GCAAGTATATAACTATAATAATAATAATAATAATAATAATATACTTTTGTAAATATGACAATAAACAATTTGATTTATCAATGTGAATATATACATTAAAAAAAAGCTGCATTAGTCAATTGATTCTGCATTAATATTAGCTTATCTATTACACACGATAGACACAAAAATTTAGTCCAAGAAAATCCAAAATACATTTGACGCGTGATAAATGTTTTGCGCAGAGGGAGGGAAAAAAAAAATGCGTAAGTATTGCGATTGCCACTGTCTGCGAAAAAAAAAAAAAAAAATGAAGAAACTCGTTAAAACATACGTTTTCATCATCAGTGTCGTGCTTGCTGCAGTAACACATATACACACACGCATGTCTTTCGCAATCTCGAAACTATTATTAACCGATACTGCGCGCGCCTCTATTTTTCTTCCTTCGTACCCTCATGTATTATATTTGTGGTATACAGTATACGTTTTAACCCTTTCGCTCGATTTTACATCTTAAATTTACATCGCATGGAATTGAACACGTGTCGAGGCACGCACGTTTCATCCCGCGCTCATTATCATCGTCTCTATACGTAATTATATCTGTCCATGTGATCGAGTGTGTATAATTGTCACAGGGATTTCATACTACCCGAAAAACGTTGCATGCCAAAATCACAATCTTCAAACGAAAAAAAAGTTTTACGAGTCATCCGCAGTAAAAAAAAAAAAAAAAAAAAATTACGTAACCCGTGTACCATTGTTTATTATTTTTTGCATGAAATATTTCATACACGTTCATAAAATTAGATATACAAGACAAAAACGTCCTGAAGGAAACAAAAAAAAAAAAAAAAAAAACCGGGCCTCACGCGAAAGCGATGTAATGGTCGACAACAATGGTTTAATGTTTGGTTCGGCTCGGCAGTGCCCGATCATTCTCCAAGTAAATGTTAAGAATAGTTACACGTTCATTCGGAAAAGTTATTTAACGATGGTTAAGCGGAAGATGTATATTTCGGCTGACCTTTTATCCTTTTTTTAAGATTTTATTGATGCGAGGGGTTTCTCCATTATTAAATATTTGTGATAGCTACAAGGATAAACAAAATTAGAAGCAAGAGGCACCAATTCAGCTAAAATAGAAGCTGCCACAATGTCCAATCAAATAAGAAACATTTCTAGGCCAATCCTTTTATCGGAAATGACTTGTACAACTACACCAAATTCCAAGGCAGTACTTAATAGTGGAGGTACACCTAATTGACGCAATAATAAAATTAGATATTTCTACATCACTAGGCATTGTAATTACTAAGTTACGAAAATTTGAAGTCAAGAGCGACAGGTACCCCAATAAAGCTTATAAAAACAAGCTGCTATGATAGATCAAGCAACAATACATTTGAGTACATTCTTTACTCAATGACTTTTTTAAAGATTCTCTGAGATTCTCAACTGACAGAGGATATGCTTGTGAAACAGGTTACCCAAAAAATTTTTGTGTTATCGAACATTGAAATCAGTAAAAACTGCAGCTTCCAAGTCAAAAGATACGGCATGAATGATGCTTGATTAAATGCTGTACTACAAATTTATTTAGATCAATCCTTTTATGAAAGCTCTGAACGTGTAGATTTATAACTGACTTTAAATATTACATAGGAGGTGGTCCCAAAAGTATCTATATTATGGTATAAATTGTAATAAGTAAAGTACCGAGCAAATCAGGAGAGATGGATGAGAATAATTTTGAAATTAATAAGAAAATGGATTCAAAGTCAATAATAGCAGACATCAATAAAGCTTACAAATGTATTACGTGCTGTTGAATCTGTCAGATTTTAAAGTGGATCGATTTAAAATTAATAAGCAAAGTTGTAATGGATCGATCCAAAGAGAAACCAGATTTTTCTGTATTGCGAAATATTGTAATTAGAGGAGTTGGGGATACAGCTACATGTAATTCCATTTTCAGCACAAGAGGGTCATCTATATGTATGCATATGGGAAGGTCATTAAAAAAGTCGACGGTGATGTCGAATCAGTATGGATAGATTCATAATTCTAACGACGTAGGTACATCGAACATCAAGTCCATCAAGGATTCATTGAGGACAGAATTAAACCTGCAGCGCCAAAACTACCAATCAATAATATAATAATAATAATAAATAACTTTATTTACTCGTAATACCCCATAGCTAAGGAATAAACATCAGATCATAAAAATAAACCATCCCCGCTGTATAAAAATGTTTTGATACCAATAGGAGCATTCCCGA